CTTTTTCGTAGTTTTTAGTTTGCGGATTTGAAAGATCGTTGGTTACAGTGGCCTGCTTACTGAGCAGAAAAACGCGGTCTCAGGTCAGATTTATGGTAAAATCGCTTGTGTATCGTGTATTTTGCGAAACTCGTTGTTGTCGTTGGTTCCGGATTTGAATGGATACACAAATTTGAGCAACGGTATTATGTGATATGAGGGGCTCGGTGGCCTTAGAGCAACCGTTTTTGCTTACTGAGCAGAACATCATGAGTCTAATCTCAGGCCCATCCACATTCAAGATTCGTCAATCGTTTTATTTGTTAATATGACTAAATGGTAATACAGGCCGGACTCGATTATCCGGAGGCTCGATTATCCGGGGCTCGATTATCCGGAGAAAATGGCTCGATTATCCGGAGTCATATTTTTTTTTACCTAGCTTGCAAATTATTTTTCATAAACCGCTTGGAAAACCGACTTCCGATCAGAGGACGAGTAACATACATCGTTCGACTCAGTCTGACAAGATTGGGAAATGACTATATTTAAGTGTTTATGTGCCTTTGTTACAAAATTCGGCGTTAAGGGGTTTTGGATTTACTTTGACCTGACAGGAATCAAACATATCATGTGCCACAACAACATACAAAAACTGAATCCCATGATGGTACGTTCACTAATTATGTCACGTTTCAGAGGGGGGGGGGAATGGCAACCAAACAAAAATTTTGAAAATCCGTAAAAAAATGTACCAAAGGGCTTTTAACCCTCCGTTACTCGCGCTGTTGTACTTTGTACAACACACATCAGTTTTCCATTGCCATTTTGTTGCTGAGTTACCAATCGACCTGAAACCAACGAGTATTCATCGAAAAACTTGTTTTGATCTAAACAAGCTAAAACTTTGATTACAGTAAACACCTAAAAAATGCGGATAATAGGGAAAATATAAATGGAAACCGCGAAAACTGTGACCATACTAAGTGGGATTTGACTTAATTGATTACAACATGGAATATATCAAGATTTTGACAAGATAGAAAGTTACTGTCTTTGCCAAAGTTGTTCAGGAGATCATAGCCTTGTCGCTGGCGGACAGTAGTTCAGAATTTTCTAACTAAGTAGCGCTAGTATACATGTGAAATTCTCGCATGTGATATATCTCGAGATCCTGACCAGATAAAAAGTTACTGTCTTTCACAAAGTTTTTCAGGAGATCAAAGCCTATTGCTTGGTGCTTAATAGTTCAGAATTTGCTCACTACGCGACGCTAGTATACACGTGAAACTCTTGCATATAAAATATCTCTAGATCCAGTAATTAAATGTATTCGGCAAAGTTTTTCAGGAAGTCAAGATCTTTTTGTTGGGTGACAATAGTTTAGAATTTTCTCACTATGTTGCTGTCTTCGGCAAAGTTGTTTAGGGGGTCAAGACTTTTTGGCTGGTAAACAGTAGTTAATAATTTTCTCACCACGTGGCGTTAGTATACATGTACACTTCTCGCATATGCTATATCTCGAGATCCTCATCAGATAGAAAGTTGTTCAGGAGGTCAAGGTCTTTTGGCTGGTGGACAGTAGTTCAGAATTTTCTCACTTCATGATGCTAGTATACATGTGAAATTCTCGCATATAAAATATCTCACGTTCTTGACCAGATAGAAAGTTACTGTCTTGAACAAAGTTGTTCAGGAGTTTAAAGCCTAGAGTTTATGAGAAAATTCTAAACTATTGTTCACCAGCCAAAAGACTTTGACCTCCTGAATAACTTTGTTGTAGACAGTAACTTTCTATCTGATTAGGATCTCGAGATATAGCATATGCGAGAAATGTACATCTATGCCACGTGGTGAGAAAATTCTTATTCTTTATCTCGTCAGGATCTAGTGATGTATCACATGCGAGAACTTAACATGTATACGAGCACTACCTAGTGAGAAGATTTTGAACTACTGTTAATCAGCAAAAAAGCTATGATCTCCTGAACAGCTTTGCCTAAGGCAGTAACTTTCTATCTGGTCAGGATCTCGAGATATTTTATATGAGAATTTCACGTTTATACTAGCGCCGTGTAGTGAGAAAATTCTGAAATACTGTCCACCAGTCAAAACTACTTGACACCCTGAACAAGTTTGCCGAAGACAGTAACTTCTATCTGCTCAGGATCTCGAGCTATTGTATATGCGAAAATTGCATGTACATACTAGCGCCACGTAGTGAGAATTTTCTGAACTACTCCACCTACGAAAAGATCTGGACTTCCTGAAAAACTTTGCCGAAAACAGTAACTTTTTATATGGTAAGGATCTCGAGCTATTGTATATGCGAAAATTGCATGTACATACTAGCGCCACGTAGTGAGAATTTTCTGAACTACTCCACCTACGAAAAGATCTGGACTTCCTGAAAAACTTTGCCGAAAACAGTAACTTTTTATATGGTAAGGATCTAGAAATATTTTATATATGCGAGAATTTTACATGTATACTAGTGCCGCGATGTGAGAAAACGCTGAACTACTGTCCACCAACGAAAAGGCCTTAACCTTCTGAACAACTTTGCCCAAGACAGTAATTTTCAATTTGGTCAGGATCTTGAGATTTTCCATGTTGGAACCAATTAAGTCAAATCCCACGTAGTACGGACACCGTTTACGCGGTTTCCATTCACATCTTCTCTATTATCCGCATTTTTGTGGGTTAACTGTGATAAAATTTTAGCTTGTTTAGTTAAAAACAAGTTTTTAATGAATACCCGTTGGTTTCATATCGATTGGTGGCTTGGCTGCAAAATGGCAATGGAAAGCTCACACTGTTGTACAAAGTACGACGCGCGAGTACTCGTGTTATAAAAGTTGGCGCGAGTAAACGGAGGGTTAAAGGGGGGTTTCGTGAGAATTGGTCTTTTGGTGGCTTCATACTTGAAAATTTATATCAATTTTCTTATCTTATTTTGTAGTTCAATTCATTTAATCATCATTCCAGTAAAAACAGTAGTTCATCAGTAAAGTGATTCAGTAAAAACAAAGAGAATTGCAAATTTGGTCATAAATCAATCCTTATTGACTATTTTATCAATAATATTTCCCCTGATTTCACGAAGTAAAAACTGCCGTTCCAACGGCAATTGGTTTTCCTCAGCCCATGTGATGATAGTGTCAATACTGTTCAGCGCTAATTGATCTGGAACTGGTTCGTACTCCTCATCTTGGTTGTCATCTGCTGTAGCAATGTTTGCAGTTTCATCCAGAGTGGTGTTCGTCACGCTTTCTCCTTCATAAAAATGTGAATCATGGTTAAGAACAGCATTGACTATGTCAGCATCAGACATGACATCGAATTCCGCATTCTCGTCTTCATTTTCGCCTGCAGCCGCTTTATCAGCAACCGTCAGTTGAATTGTTACACTATCATACCTAGAGGACCGGAACTAATATTTGCAATGTTAACATTTCAAAAATATTCATGGAAAATGGTCGAAATTGATCGAGTGCGTCAAGTTAGGAACCGCGTCAAATATTGTGCCTTCACGGTAGCCGTGATTTTTAGCCAAGCTCAACTTTGTCTTTACACACTCTTGAGGGTCGCGAGACTACGATTTTTCTCAAGTTGAGGGGTCCCAAGGCGTGGTTGGCTACACGTTCGCTTCTCAAGCGGATGGTCCGTGGGTTCAATTCCATTGATCTTCTTATCGAATTTTGATGTATTTTAATGTGCCTCATGATAGGTTATTATCCAAGTCCGATTCTGGTCACTTTCCCGGGGCACCTGGAACTTCTCCGGAAGTGGCCAATATGGTCCAAGGTACTTAATTTTTTCCACCATTGATCTGGTTATCGAATTTTGATATAATCTGATGTGTCGCATGATAGGTTATTATTCAAGTCTGGTTCTGGCCACTTTTCCGGAGGCACCCGGAACTTGCCCGGAAGTAGCCAATATTGTCCAAGGTACTTAATTTTTGCCACCAGTGATCTTGATATCAAATTTTGATTTAATTTGATGTGTCGCTTAATGGGTTTTGTTCCTTTCAAGACAAATTTAGTCTCATGGCCCATAAACGCCGGAACTTGATCCGGCCATATCTACAAAAACAGTGGTCTGATTCCATAATCCTTCAATAGCGTTCAATGGGACCACTAAAAACATTAAATGAGACCACATAAGACCAAAAAAAATATTTTTTTTTGATGGCTCGATTATCCGGAGGGCTCGATTATCCGGAGTGAAATTTTTTTCAAGACTCCGGATAATCGAGTCCGCCCTGTAACAGCAACTTGGTGATTAAAAATGTGCTCGTCTGCCTAGTGGCAAACGTTTTTGCTTACTGAGCAGAAGACCGTGGGTTTAGTCCCAAGCTCCTTCGCGTTCTATGATCGTTAGGACATCAATTCAGCTTATCTTTCACCAAAACGAACCCTGCTGCAAACCCAACCCTCTTATCCAACATCCCAGTGATTCCTCGTGGAAGTGCAGAGGTGTTCTCGGCTTCCATCAAAGTGAGTGTCATGTCAACACAATCCTTCCCATTCCTTTCTTGACCTGTGTTCGGGCGCGGCCGGCGCTGGTATTGCCTAATTTAAGATCACCAGTTTTTACACATTGAGGATGATTGCTAGTCCCAAGCATCGTCTATTGGTTCTCTGTGTATTTACAGCTGATCTGGCAGTAACAGAGTAGCAACCGTGGGCGGTCAATCAAACTCAAACTCAAACTCAACAATGGTGATCATGGATTTGTAACATTTGATTTAATAGTAGTAGTTATAAAAAATGTAATTTTCAGTAGTCTACAAAGGTTTAAGTCCCGCGCTGAAATTTACGATAGCATTTCCCCTATCAATTTTCCAAAATACAATTTCCCGGAATGCATTTGACATTCTTTTAGTTGCTTTTGTTCTGTATTTTTAGAATTTTGTCATTGTAGCCTTTCGAATTCTGTCGTACATTAGAATTACGAAGCTCTACCATGAGCAAATGAAATCTTTGTTCAGTAATAAATGCGTTCGTCAATTTCAGAGAGGAGTTCATCGTCAAAGCCAAGGAGGGCACCAGCAACGTGGCCTACCTGTCCACTCCGCTGCAGATGCACACCGATCTGCCGTACTACGACTACAAACCGGGCTGCAATCTGCTCCACTGTCTGGTACAATCCCAATCCCAGGGGGGACAGAACCTCATCTCGGATGCCTTCTACGTGGCGGATCTGATGCGCCGGGAGCACCCGGAGGATTTTGCCATTTTGAGTGAAACGTTGATCAACTGGACGGATATTGGCGAGGATGAAGGCGGGCGGTTTCACAGCATCTACCGGGCGCCGGTTATTTGGTACGCATACGTGGTTAAATTAACAGCTCAGTAGTATTTATCTAATACTGTTTGTTTTCGCAGCATTGGCCGCGATGGCAAGCTCGAGCGGATCAACCACAGCGTTCCACAACGGGATAGCTTCTTCAACGTGCCATTGGATCGCGTGCAACCCTGGTACCGTGCCATGGCTCGCTTCGTGAAGTTGATTCACCAGGAAGCGGTGGAGTTTAAAACCGCTCCGGGCGACACTCTTACCTTCAGCAATGTCCGGATGGTGCACGGTCGCACCGGTTATAGCGATACGGATGTCAATATGCGTCATATCGTCGGCGCCTACCTGGATTGGGACGAGATCTACTCCAAGCTGAGGGTCTTGAAAAGTCTTGATGCTGCGAAGAATGGAGATGTGAAATTGAATTGAGATGCTGAGGACAGGGGGTTTTAAATTTTCAAGCGAATTTATTCCTTACTCTCGTTTACTCGACACAGAGAACATACATTTATGTTAGGTTTTAACCGTGGAAGAAACTAGTTACTTGTTTGATTTTCGTAAATAATTTGCACACATAGTAAAAGTAGAGCGAAAGGAGACACAGATTTTACATAACAGTTCTGATTATAATAATTATCCTCTAAAAGAAACGATTTACGTGTATTTTAAAATTCGCAATAAAATCACAATACTTTTTTGATTTCTCCCACATTTCTCCTTGTCCGCGGCTAATCTTGTTTGAAAATTGCATCCTAATTTAAAAAAAAAAATATACACAGTTGTAAGGTCTCTTTCTAACTATTGAGGCTAAATAATAAGGAAACTAAGAAACGATAAACATAGGGAGTAGGTTGCGGATATGATTATATATTTTGATTGCAGTTTCTAGCGGACGAACGCGAGCGAAGGAGGAAAGAAAAGTTTCCCACCCCCGCCAGCGTGGATAAAATATAATGGGCAAACTGTATATAAATTGTTAAGTAATCGTTTAAGCACCTAGTTGCAATACGTTTTGCTTATTAACAAAGTGATAATGTAAAACTAATCGACGCATTGACTTACGATTTAGTTGAAACGAGCTCTTGTTGACGTTAAGTGGGTTTTAAAACAAACGTGAACTTACTTTGAGAGGTGTTTATTTTAAAAAGGAGGGGGGGGGGGTTGTTGAGAAAGAATTGGTTACATAAATTTAACGAATCACAAAACCTACACTACACACCCGTCAACCAAATTTCGAACATTTGGTTTCTGGTGAGACACGTTTTAAATACACGGTTAATGAGGGTTTTAAGGTGTTTTCAAGTAGAGCCCTTTTTCTTACCACACTTTGCAATTTCGAGAGCACAAATCTCAAGATTTACGATGTTTATAAATCTATAAAGTTCAGTTTTTGCTTGCTGCTCCGCAGCTGACAACAAGTAAGCAATAGTTTTAGCCACTAAAAGACCTTACTATTTTGACTTGTGACATTGCGAAGTGTAAGGTGAAAAAGAACGCTACAAGGAATCACCTTAACATAATAAGGCACTGCACACTGAACAAAAAATAAGAAATTACAACAAAAAAGAAAAAAAAAAAATGAAGAAGGGGAAAAAGGGAAAACCGTAGACCAATTCATACAAAGGAAAGCGGTGCAAAATGGAAAGAGATCACACAAAACAAAACAAAGAAAAAACAATGAGCGGGTGCACTTAAAAACTCTTTGAATTTCAACATCATACATTGAAATGCAAGAACTTTCTGCCTTATCACCAGAATGTTAGTACTTGGAAAAAGGATAAATATCATTTGTAGAAAGTTAATTGCAATGTTACTTTGCTAAATTTGTAGCAATCAAGAGCAGTCGTCCAGGTTCGTCACTTGACGAACCATTCAAGTTGCACGTTTTTGCTTGCGTTAACTAATGATTGAACTTTAGATTCTATTGGCCTAAACGATTGGGAGTTTCTTTGATTTTGTTTCCAAACAATTTACGAAAGACAAACACTTATTTCCGAAACATCTTAAGTAATGATAAAATAAAATATTTGCGATAATTTACATAAATTTACAAATTTGCGAGAGTTGCTCTAACTGCAGCGATGCTCCCTATCAGCTCAAATTTTCTCTTGTTAAATCTAATTCTACTCAACAGCCGATCGATTATTTTTTTACCTCTTTTCGCTCCGTTCGCTCAAAGAGTTAACTTGTTTCTGTTCTAGATTAACTTCGCCCCTTACTACGCTACACAGACTAAACACGTACACATACGTTAAAAAAAATCGACTTGTCTAATGCTACCTTAAAACGACGAAAATATAACGACTATTTACACGACGACGAGACCCCCCTGGGGACCGGAGCTTTGATCAACATTCGCTCTGCACCAGGGTGTCCTTGAGGGCGGCCAACTGCTCCTCGCCCAGTTTGATCTTGTCGGCAATCTCCCGCGAGTCCACGATAAGCTTCGCCTTCATGTTGATGAAGTAATCATAGTCGGCGTACTCCTCGATGGTCAGCGACTTTTCCAGGATCTTCGAGATGATTGCCCCTCGACGGTCGATGTCGTCCTTGAGCTGTTTGGCTTCCTCCAACTGTTCCAGCAGTCGATCCCTCTTGGCTTCGAGGATTTTCTGTGAATAGAGCAAACATTGATTAATTTCTGTGAGAAATCGAATGAATAACGTACGGACCTTATCTGGGTGAGAATCGTCGATGTTGTGCAGGGCATTGTCGGTTCGGGCTAGGCGACCGGAGAGGGACAACAGGAGCATGGTGATGTATCCGACATCGTCGACGTAGGAACGGAACTTGGACGCATCGGTGGGCCGCACATTTTGGGCCACCTTGAGGGCGACGTCGTTGCCGAGCATGTCGTTGGCGTTGCTCTCCTCGGCAATGCTCGTTTGCTCGTTTGACAGGACTAGTAACTTTTTGCCAAGACGTTGGACGAGCTCCTCCTGGAAGAGAAATGATAGAAGAAAGGGATAGGTGAACGGGATTGGTTACGTGGTGTGCTAAATACATGAGGAAGTGGAAATGGATGTAATGTCGGCCTAAATGCCCGTGATTTAGGCCCATACATAATACAGCAAACGATTAAATTTCCAATAGCGACCAAAAATATCAATTAGTACCGTCCCAATGACGCGTTCATCTAGATAAAATTGATTTATAGCAGATTTTTAGCGATGGGTAGAATCTTAGATTCATAGGACAACATTAGAGCCATTTTCCCTATGCGATTTTTTTTTATGATAACAGGTCACCATGTAGACAGCTTAGAGGGGTGGTTGGCAAGTGTTTATAGTTTAGACTTAGCCTGATATTGCCTCGTAACGTGGGTGGATCACCTTCTCGTGGTAAGTTATGGGATGTAAGATCTACCACATCGAACTCTGGCCCGAGGCTCTTCTTGTTGACGGTTATGAACCGCGGTTTTGAGATTGGGTACAAGAAAAGAATCGGACCAGGGTTCCGATGCATGGTCAAATATCAGTATCATCGCTTGTGTTTCTCACTAAAGAGACATATCAAATGATGCCGAACATTACTATTGAATGAGGATTCATGAAAGACCTATTTTGATTGATAATAGAAAAAGGTTGGAAAGGTTCTAGAACGCTTCGATTATTAGAAACATTATAATTGAATGAAGCTTCTTGTGAAATGAGCAAGTATGTATGATTCAACTGTATCGAAAACGAATAGCTCATTACTTTTTCATAGAAATTAGGTACTACGGCATGCACTAAACAAACGACACGAACATATAACAAACGGGGAGTAAAAGAAGCTTGATGTTTTCAAAATGTTTAAAACAGTTGGAATCCTAAAAATTTGCAGGTCCCTTCAAGTATATTACCAGCTTTCTGTATTACTTCTTCAAGTCCCGGAATGTCGAAAATATATCTGGAAATCGCTAAAGCTTGAACAGGGGGATGTGGGGGTTAAATGGGCAGGTACTAGTTTTATCGGAAAAACGTCAAATATCACCGCTACCCATTTAAAAAAATGCAGGTAATCAGCAATTAATTCACGTCTTACGGTGTTGAGAATTCGTTTAAAAATGTCCATTTTCGAACATTTAAAAAATGTGCTGATTGATGGGTAAAATTATACCTGTCTATTTGGGAGGCAAGTCTTGTTTGCCAACTTCATAGATAACAAGTTGAAAGTTTGCGACATTTATAGGTAATAAATAATTTCCATGAAAATCGTACTTAATAATGCTGCATACTTTATACTTTAGCTGAGGCCATTTTCAAATGAAATAGGGTAAATTATTAATTATTAAGCCGATTCCTTACCTTTTCAGCTTCAATCTGATTACATTTTTACGACTGTGAATTCCTGTTATACCATATTTTTCTTTAAATGAAATATACATACTACAAAATACGGCTGATTTCGAGTTGCCGATAATAGAACAGCTGGTTAACACGCAGTTCAAATGGAAAAGGTGCCGAAGAAAAAGAGACTGCCGACAATAGTCATTCTCACCTGAGAAGTTTGGAGCGTTGTAAAAACATGTTCAACCCGTTTTGATCAATTCTGTCGATTGGAATTGGTAGAACAGCAAGCAGCAGATAAATGTCAACAAACAAACCTGTCATGTATGTGTGTGACGCTGAGAAATCGCTAATAGAAGTTCGGACGCTGCTTAGATTGACGAGAATACGTAAATTCCCCTACGTGTATTTCAATCATGCTATCCAGCTACTCAGATATCACTTTAAGCTGCATTACTACTAACACCTCCAAACCAAAATTTAACAAGAAATCATGTTTAGTTTTAATTTAAAAAAGTTGAATATTATTTTTTTAATTTTCAATATCATAATGACACAATGGCGTATGTCGTCGAGGAAGCGTCCAGAACTCTTGGTTTTGTCTTCAAGATTACAAAGAACTTCACAGACATTTACTGCTTGAAATCGCTCTATTGCTCTCTCGTATGATCTACGTTGGAATACTGCTCTGCATTCTGGAGCCCGAACTACTATAATGGAAATGAGCGAATTGAATCTGTGCAACGACGTTTCCTTCGCTTCGTCTTCCAAGCTACGAGAATCGCTGCCAATTGATTAATGTCGAGCCCTTACGTATCCGAAGAGATGTTTTCAGAGCCTTAACCGTCGCCGATACTTTGCCATGAAGAATCGAAGCAATTATGCAACAAGTGAACATTAATGTTCAACCTCGATCACTACGCAGCAGTATTAAAGGGTGATACGGTCAAAATTTGGTCAAGGGAAAACGCGTGTAAATCGGTGAAATCGTTTATTTAAAAAATCAAATTAAATTTCTTTTTCAAGTTCAATTAGTATAAAATTCAGGAAAAATATTCAGTTAGGCTTCCGCTTTTCCAAATCCGAATTGCCGGGCCTTACGCTTGACCCCTGCCATCAGATTTTGTACAGCCACCTTGTCCACCTTCTTCGCCGCAGAAAGCCAGTTTGCCTTGAACTGCTGCTCGCCCTTAGCAGTTTTTTTGGTCTTCTTTAGGTTCCGCTTGACAATAGCTCAGTATTTCTCAATTGGGTGGAGCTCTGGCGTGTTGGGAGGGTTCTTGTCCTTGGGAACCACCTGCACGTTGTTGGCGGCGTACCACTCCATGGCCTTTTTACCGTAATGGCAAGATGCCAAATCCGGCCAAAACAGTACGGAACAACCGTGTTTCTTCAGGAAAGGCAGCAGACGTTTATTCAAACACTCTTTCACGTAAATTTCTTGGTTGACAGTCCCGGAAGCTATGAAAATGCTGCTTTTCAAGCCACAGGTACAGATGGCTTGCCAAACCAGATATTTCTTTGCGAACTTTGACAGTTTCATGTGCTTGAAAACATCTGCTACCTTTCCCCTTCCTTTTGCCGTATAAAACTCCTGTCCCGGAAGCTGCTTGTAGTTTCGTCGTCCATTACCACGCAGTCAAACTTCGTCAGCATCGTCGTGTACTGCCTCCGGGATCGCGCTTTGGCCGTCGTATTTTGTTTATCATCGCGATTTGGAGTCACTACCTTCTTGTAAGTCGATAGTCCGGCTCGTTTTTTGGCTCGATGCACGGTTGTAGACGATACACCCAGCTTATTTGCGGCATCTCGGAGAGAGAGGTTAGGGTTTCGCTTGAAACTACCGGCAACTCTCTTTGTCGTCTCAGCGGCTTCCGGTTTTCGATTTCCCCCCGATCCAGACTTCCTGGCTGTCGACAAACGTTCCCCAAACACTTTAATTACATTTGTAACAGTTGATTTGGCAACTTTTAGCGATTTTGCCAACTTTGCGTGCGAGTAGCTCGGATTTTCGCGATGCGCGAGCAAAATTTTGATACGCTGCTCTTCTTGCTTGGACGGCATTTTGACAACTGAAGAGTGAATTCCAAAATCAAAATAGGAGCAACATTCTACACACACACACACCTTCAAAATGAGGGGTGTTCAGGTTTTTTAAATGCAAAATTGAAAGAAATACGTCAAGTTGATATTGACCAAATTTTGACCGTATCACCCTTTACACTCGACACGGAATATGCTTCGCCGAAGATTCATTGACTTTTTTGCTGACCGAAGGCGCTTGACAGCTAAGTGTAAAATTTTAGACTTATATATTTTTAGTATCTTGACGACAATGCTTTCCTTGTTATTTTCGTTTGTAACTGTAGTATATGTAGTCTGTATAATGTGTACTTTTTTACAACACATCATTGGGACTATTTCTAGTCTGTTTATGCAAACATAACAAATAAACAAATAAGTTTAACAAACATTATGTCTAACTAGCTACTTAGAATACACTTATTTTCATCATAAACAAATTAATCTCCTTAAGGTGCCCGTTTTACCCTCACCACCCCTCACCCCGGCAACATGATTATTTTGAATATTGTCGACCTCAGAGTCAAAAACCTTGATATTATCATAAATTCAGCATGACGCAATAATTTGCATCGATCTGTGTGCAAAAACCAACACAACACGTTCCACAGCGCTATATTTGTGTAAAATGAAAATAATCATTTTGCAATTGATCCTCAAAATCATCTCCACCAAGATGAAGACGAATATTAATATTGACAACAACACAGGCGATAATGAACATCCAGCCACGAATGGACGAAAATTTGTGATTTTTTTTTCTGAAAATAGCAGTCCCACAGAAAATGACGAATCTGAAAAACTCGACCTGCTCCAATTTTAATTTTTTTTTTTGCATAATTGTGTGTTATGGGTAATTATTCACATTTTTACAAAAATTCGACCATTTTGGATGCTGAAATTTTTTCAAAACGGCGTCAGTAAATCTTACCAAAATCGTTTAACAAAAACTTTTGGTAAATTTTTTGAATTTTTTTGCTAGTTTGCATTTTTGTAATTTCTGCACATAAAAAGCGTTACCAATAAATTTTACAATATGATCAAAAGATGATGTCCTACGATTTTTGTAAATTTTTAAGTGTCCATTGTTTTAAATACTCAAAAAGTTTTAATTCTTCATGAGCTTGAAGATATACTTTTTGAGATATTTAAAAAATACCGTTTATATTTTTCCCAGAAAGACTTAATTTTTCTAAACAACTTTGTCCCATACGTCATTTTCATCTGAAGTGACGTTTTCGTGTTACAATTTATTAAAAAAGATTACAAGATCCAAAATGGCCAATGTTTTACAAAAACACATAACTACGCAAACTTTCATGAAAATCTTTTTTTTTTTCCTATTTGGCCTGGAACTGAAAAATTAGGCGAGAGTCAAAATAGACGGAAAAATAAAAGCGATTCGTCAGCTAGCGTGGAACTGCTCAAATGACATGAGAATTTAAAACCCAGTTCGATGGTATATATTTGAAGTGCCCAGTACCGCACTGACCACACCCGGACAGGCTACAGGTACCCCCGGGGAAGTGGCCAGCTTCTGACTAGGGTCAAAACCCATCATGCGATACCTCAAATCACATGATAAT